AAAATGTTAAAATACAGAAATTGGGCACTGTAAAGCGTATGCAACTTTATTATGTAATACACGAAAGGGCTTTTGGGGGTCAGGAAGGTCTAAATTCAAATGCTATGTCATTACTTAGTAGTGATTTGGGCCAAGTTCCTTAGATGGCTGTAAATGTTCTGAATAGTTCATATAGTTCTGGCACTCGGGAGGTAGTCAAATGTTAGTTCTCGCCTCTCATTTGTGATTTTAAGGAGTTCTGGAATACTGAAATTCATTAAGGAATTTTTTTTTCTGTAACGTTTTTTGAGAGGTGATGGCGGTAGGAGTTAGGGCTCTAAGCAGGTTGAGGCTATGCCTAGGGCTTTGTTTGAAATTTTTTTCAATAAAAAAGATGTTTCACTTAAATGCAACAGCTAGCTGCCTTTTGAGCAACAGCTAATTCTTTAGTTATAACAGTAAACATTCAATTAGAAAATATGCTTTTGTGTCACTGATATGCAGATCTTTCCTTTTTGGCAAATAAAATCAAATTTTGAAGTATTAAACACATAAGAAACAAACCAACAATTGCAATGCCCTAAATGAATCCTGGAATTTATTTGGGAGAATATAAGATATTGATCCTTTGTTTTACAGCTCATGATAATAATCAGAAAACAAACATTTTGAAATGAAAGTCAAAAGAAGAAGATAGTTACATACAGTACAGATTACAGACTTTTATTTGTACATAAGCAAAGCGATACCAAAAGCATATTTATGTGTTCACAATTAGTGAACGTGGCAATTTCCTGTTTAAAGCTGCAGCAACTCAAATCCTCCTAAAGTCAATAAAGAAAGACACATTGAGAAACGCATTTAGGGCTAACACCATGTCTGGCAGTGAACCTATTTTTTTTAATCTTTCCCCTCCCCCATATATATATCTATATGTATGTATATATACTTTATTGCCTTTATATTTCTGCTGGTTTAATATAATTAGTATACTAAATAGTCATCTGCATTTATTTGGTTTCTAAAAATATATAAAATGCACTGGAAACGAGCTCCTGCAGCTTTCAAGCAGTTGCTGTGCTGGCATGGAAAGCTGAGTCTGGAAATGTAAAGCAGCAGTACTGAATAAATAGTGAGTGTTCTCTGTCTTCTCCATACAGCCAATGGCCTTCACCCACAACTTTAAACCACGGGAAGCAAACAGTATATACATGCAACTTAAAAACTGGACATGATAGAAAGGTGATACTTATAGACTACATTTTAATACAATCTATACGAATAAAGGTAACTTTAGGTAGAAAAGGGCTGTGAACACGGCTGTGTTATTTACATAAAACTTAAGGCCCAATTTTTCAGCGGTAATGCACACCAGGAACTGCCCATCTGCCCTCACCATTTGTATGCCTGCAGTCAATTGTGGTTTGCCTTTTTTTCATATTCTTTCCTCACTCTATTATTACAGTTATAACTTGGAAGGCTTCTAATGAAGAGTTTATCATCTGCTTTGCTCTTATTCACAAAGAAAATTCTTTTAAAGCAGGTACAAATTTTATTTATGTTGTGGGAGCAAGTCCTTATTTGTTCTTGAATGTTGTTAGAGTTCATGTTTCACAGCATACATTATTGACTTTATCAGTCTTGTTTAGCTTGAATTTGTGACTAATTTGAACTTCAGGAAGTGGTGATTAGTCCACTGATAACTGAGGGAATTAAATAAATACCAAATGATGTGTCACAACCAAATTCCCAGTGTGTTATCAGATGAAAACCAAACGCTATAAAACAGACTTTATCTCATAAGAATAAAAAAAGCTTGACATGACCTACTATGGATCATTCCCTGAGGATAAATTCATACTTAAAAGTACAATTTCTAATAATTTCTTGGTTCAAAAAATTCATCTTTTAATATTTTTAATACTTGTAGCAAATAATAATAAAGCAATTGGCAGTATAATTAAAATGTATAGTCAATTTAGTATTTAGGACCTGAATATTACCCCAGATGCAAATTTTATATGTAATTTTTTGTATATCATTGCCTGCTCCCTTCTCTGAAATGTGTCCAAAGATGTGGCGCTTATTCTAAGTCATTTATATTCACAATTGACAAAAGTGATCAGGAATAGAATAAAATATCTCAAGATGTTGTAGAGAAATGAATCTTTCCCTCCCGATTAAAAAAAAAAAAAAAGACATATGAAAAATTCCTATGTGCTTTTAGAAGTAACATAACAATCAAAATTATGGCTGTTCAATGCATTGATCACATCCCTATTTAAATACACTGTCCATCTAGGAAATCAATAGTATTTCTATTTGTAATTAAGGAGCCCTGGTAGCGTAGTGGTTACGCTTTACCAGCAGCTCCGTGGGAGAAAGATGAGGCTTTCTGCTCCAGTAAAGATTTACAGCCCTGGAAACCCTAAAGAGAGTCACTAAGAGTCAGAACTGACCCGATGGCACACCACCAGCATCACCTGCAAACAGGTCCATGGTAATTATTTGGCAGCTTTAAAGTTCTATTGATACTGTTAAAGGTTCAATGTGATATACTACGCTGGTACTAGCAGTTGGAAAAACGCTTCTTTCTTTCAAGTTATTAGGTTAATAAGACGAGTATTGAGAAGCGCTCTCTGATGGTGTTTTTCTTGACACACCAAGGCATCCTTGTAATTCACAATTACAAGGGTTAATGTTGTAGCAGTGCCATAGTTTTATTTAAATACAATGTGATCAATTTATAAAAATGTTTTTCTTTGTGAATAAGATCTCCATTTTTCTAAACAACAAAATGATTCTTAATATATATGATAGGATCTTTAAAAGTAAGGCATATATTGGGCATCCGTAAATCATTATTGCCAAGAATGCTACAAATTATTTCAATTTTTAATGTTTCCAATTTAAAAATATATGTAGATATGAAATAACTATTATAAGTTGAGAGCAAATGTATACAGATTGTGGTTATTTAGATAGGAATCATTTATTTCTCAAGTTACTTGCAAAATAGTATGATGACAAGGTCAACTTGATAACTCCAAGAACCTTCCCCCCACCACTCAAAAAACACAAAAAAACTAATTGAGGTCTGCCATTTAGCTGGATTAGGAAAGGTAACTTTGCATTATTACTTTCAGTACTCTATAAGCTTTATATATTTTCATAGCCATTCTTAAAAATTTTTCATAGGAAACCTAAATACAGCAGCATTCTCAGCATTCATTAAACCAAAACTAAGTCAAATGTGTTAAAACATCCAAAGTTGCTTTCATGCATAAGACACAATATATTTCCTCTTACCATGACACTAATATATTAACCCATTTTTATTTATTCCATGTCAATAAGACAGATAACGTATTTTCCTCAGAATTAAAAAAAATATTTTCAATTTCAGATTCAAGTCTTAATTGTATTGTACCAAATTCTGATCAGAGGGAATGCAAAAATGACAAAGTGGTGTTAGACCATACTAGTCGAGACATGACTTGTGAATCCGAGTTAAGGGTTTATTTAAGTCATTTAAGGGTGTTGGACTCATGTGGTACTTTAATGAATTGAAACAAAAAGATTATGTGTGTATAGATAGAGATTCATGTCCTGTAAAAGTCAAGGTATTTTATTTTATTATTTTAACCTGGGAAAAGAACATAACCTGTTTTGTGTTAACGTACGTCTAGGTGATGCTCTTAGAAATAATTTAAGCTAAATTGCACAACAGCCAACCAGAAGCATCTTTATTTTTCAAAGCCTTTATGTTAAAAATTCCGTAGAATCACTGTCTTTCTTTTATTCACTTTTTGTACCACCACATTTAATGTAAAACTATCTTGTGAATTGTGGGAGGGAGGCATTACCTATTCTATTTCTCTTTGTTGTTGTTGTTGTTGTTAAGTGCTGTGGAGTCGGTTCCGACTCATAGTGACCCTTCACAGGGTTTCCATGGCTGCAAATCTTTACAGGAGCAGAAAGCCTCATCTTTCTCCCGCAGAACAACAGGTAATTTCAAACTGCTGACCTTGATGTTAGCAGCCCAGTTCGTAACCACTACGCTACCAGAGCTCCTTATTTCTCTCTAACTGACAACATAATTTGTGGCAAGAAAGAAATTCAATATAACAATTCACCTTTTCTCTATTGATATTATTGGCTGATGAGGAAAGAAAATCTTATTTTGAGATGTTTATCTTAATATTTGAAGAAGTTTTGTGTGGTACCCTTAAAAATAAAGTTGTCACATGTGATGGGGTAAACATGACTAAATCATAGTTGTTAATGGACAGCAAATTGTAGAAAGCTGAAGTCTATTTCTCTTTGGATGAAAGGCCAACAAGGATGTTGTAAATTTAAATAAACATTTACCTTGAAATGTTTAACTGTAAACACCATTGCATACAATTTCCTTCTGAAGTATAGGTGAATGCTTGTTTCTACATGATGTAAGCAGAAGTCATTACTGTTCTCACTCCCTTAAAGATACTTATGGCTTAAAAAAAAAAAAAAAAGGTACTGAATTTAACTTTATTTCGTTGTTAAAAAAAAAAAAACCTACCTCCAATCTACTTTCTCTTTGTCTAACAGACTGGAAAAATCACAACAGTTTATATGTTTTGGGTAAATTATGTGCAAGAAAAATTTACAACTATGTGGTTAAGCCAATGCCAATAGACCAGACACATACAGGGTGGGTTATTTAAAGGGTATGTCACTTACAGTAACATTCGTAAAGTAGACCAATCTGGTTCCTCAATATTTATACTCAGAAGATCCACAGGAGTAAATTGACAAGGCAGGGCAGATAGAAAACACAGCATCTAACAGAAAAGCCCTATGTCTGTTTTGAGAGATACTCAATAATCACATCTTTGTCCAACAGTGTTTGAAACACAAAAACATTGTAAACAGAGAATTTGCCTCATGAAAAGATTTCTGTTCTGGCAATGTGGTAATTCATATTTTGGAAATCACACAAAGCAAAGATTAAACAACAACAATAACAACAACAAAAACCTAACCTTGAAGTATTTCTCTAACTAAGTAACAGCTAGGACAGATTCACAAAATAAATGCAAGTGGGTTCTTTTGGAGTTCTTTTCAATGGTGGAGCACCCTATGACGCGTGTGTAGCTGTATGGATGGAGCAACATATGGATGCAGTTTGGCAAGAGGCACACAAAGTCATAATCACGTAAAATGAGACAAGAATTAAGCCACAGGATACATACTAAAAATATTAAAACACCTACATTCACGCATCCATTGATTACATGGAATAAATTAAACTAAGCCAGTCACATATGAGTACTTCTCTTCACTCTTAAGTCACTTTATTTATGTATACACATAGAATAACATTTTTCCTAATGCTCTCAAAACACTACAAATAAAAAGGAAGGCCTTGCGATATAGCTGCTGGACAGGAATGGCAACACTGTTGAAGTATGAAAACAGTCTCTTTGTTCTTTAGCATCAGTGCACAGGGTATGGCTCCAAGTGGTATGCAATTTAGGACAGAAAAATGATACAGTAGCTTGTGAAATATCTCCTCTGTTCATCATTGGCACAAATCAAAGAAGAAATTTTTACTGTCCTTGGTACCTTTATTGGGTCTCTCTCCCAAAGACACACGATGTTGTTATACATATATGCCTTCAGGATTAAAGCCAGATGAGATAGGATTCTGTAGAATACGAAGGTTACTGGGGAGCTGCCGAGATGAACCAGGTCGCTTCAAGGACCCAGCCTGAAATGGTGCCTCTACACAGGAAATAAAGAGAGTCACTAGTTTAATCCATTACCTTGGAGTATTCAAGCAATATGAAAACATTAAAACGTTTCCTGCTCTAAGAGAACCGGAAGCAGAGAGCTGCATGTAGTAACAATCTAAAAGAAAAGACCATCTCTGACCTTCTCAAATAGAAGTCAACTGGGTAAGTGAATTTTTGGTGATTTGAACCAAAAGTTAATAAATTTTTAAATGGTAAGAGTCTTAGTCTCCTAGTGCTACTATAACAGAGATAGATACAAGTGGGTGACTATGGTGAATGGAAATTTACTTTCTCTCAGCGTGGGCCAGAAATCCAAATGAAAGGCATCAATTCTAAGGAATGGCTCTTTCTGTCTACTTTTGGAGACAATCCACGATTCATTCAGCTTCTCATCCTCAGTTCCTTGGTGACATCAATCTTTCCCCATTTGTGCTTCCTTGCTTCTGCACCCATCTGCGTCTTTAAAACCTCAAGAGTGACTGGTTTAAGATACACCCTACACTGATATAGCCTCATTAACATAAAAAGAAAACTCTATGCCCAAATGAGATTACATCCAAAGGTATGAAGTTTAGGATTCCAGCACATTTTTCTTGGAACAATTCAATCAATAACAGTGAGTATTTTGCTTCTTTTCTTGGCTGCTCATACCACATATATACATGAGATTTGGAAGTGTCTTTTAGATTTAAGCACAAATTAATAGTAAAGACTTTTAGGAGAGGAAGAAAGACAAGAGAAGCAACAGAAATGAGATAAACCAAATTCAAATTAAAAGACTCATATCTAGTTTAGGAAATTACTTTATACTTTGGGAAACAATTTCATAAAGAAGCAAGTGCAAGCTAATCATGTTTATCTGCTGATTGATTACAAGTTCACTGAAGGAGCTCTGGTAGTGTAGTGGTTATGAGTCGGGCTGCAAACCTCAAGGTCAGTAGTTTGAAACTACCAGCTGTTTCGTGGGAGAAAGATGAGGCTTTCTGCTCCCATAAAGATTTACAGCCTCGGATACCCTGCACAGGGTCACTATGAGTTGGAACTGACTCCACGGCAGCACAGAACTGCCACCACATAACCGCCACCACCATCAGAAGCTCACTTAAATAAACACACAACCTAAGTATTACTGGTGTTCCTTCGAGCAAGAAGTTTTAAAATTGGCCCCCAAATTAGCTGCGAACACTGTAACGGAATGTAAGCCATTTATTCAAAGTGAATCAGTGAGAACAAAGGAACACAATAAAAAGATTTATCAACATCTTACCCTTTTCAATGTCTGCAGGGGAGGCCTCCACTTCAATGGGCTCGGCTGGCAACACGGTCACTTTTGTCCCCGTCTGCTGGATAAATTGCTGGAGATTGACTTGCCGCAGTTCTTTAGTCAGCTGCTCCAGTTCTTGTTCTTTGTCCTAGAAGAAAGTAAAAAAAAAAATTTTTTTTTTCTAAATGTTTACTATTGGCCAGCTAGAGACAAACCTTCAGCTATAGGGGTTGAATGTGGCATACTTGCTTTCACAAGAACACACTGGACAGATCTGGTTTATACTGTACAATGGGCTAAAGAGGTCGCTTCTCTCTGTGGCTTGGGCAAGCAAACACACAAAGGACAGACAATAGCACATCCATATCTTCCTGTTAGATGGGATGCTTTCCTCTACCGGCACTTCACAATGTACCTGCTGCTACAAATATGCTATATCTATAAACTTTCATCAACAAAATACTGGTTCCCATCTACATCAATGATGCAACAACATTGACAGGCTGCTCACAACAAAGTTTCTCTATTAACTGTTATAGGATCAGCACTGTACTGCAAACTACAAGGTCAGCAGTTCAAATCCACCAGCTGCTCCTCGGGAACCCTATACAGAGTTGCTGTGAGTTGGATCCAACTCGACAGCACGTAAAACAACAATTGGACTCTTGGTGTGGCACTGTAGGATCAGCATTGGACTGTGAACCTCAAGGTCAGCAGTTGAAACCCACCAGCTGCTCGTCGGAAATACGGGGTAGCTATGAGTCGGAAATGACTCAACAGCACTTAATAATTACACAAGCTTAGTTGTCATTTGTGAAGTCCTGGTGTGGTACTGTGAGTTAATGCACTGGACTGCAACGTTGGTTTCAACTGTAAGGTTGGCGGTTCAAGATCAATAACTGCTCCTAGGAAACACTACACAGGGGCTGCTGAGTTGGTTCCGACTCATAGTGACCTGTGTGGGGTTCCCAAGGAGTGGCTGGTGAGTTTGAACCGCCAACCTCACGGTTCAAACCAACTTTATGGTTGAGTGTTTATCCTACAGTGCAATATAGTCAGTGACAGGGAAAGCAGATCACATCTCTTCATGAAACCCCAGTTTTCTCTGCTTGTGGACCTGCCCTATTCTAAAGATGCTCTTCCCAAATGACAATGTGTGCAGGCAGTACTTGGGGGCCAGGGATGTTGATAAAATATAGATTATGCATTTCTCCTAAGTGTTTCCTGAAGCTGCCCAGCACAGGTCAGCTTAATAGAAATGGCCCAGCACAGTCCAATGGAACGTTCCCCAATGATGAAAATGTTCTGCATTGTCCAACATAGGGAGTGCTAAACACATGTGGCTGCTGGAAAGTTTTAAATGTGGCCAGGTGTGACCGAAAACAGAAATTTAAATTTATTTAATGTTTTTGAAACAGCTTTATTGAAGACTATTTAATTTTCATTAATTTGTCACATAAGGCTAGTGGCCAGCACAGAGCTAAATACATTCTCATCAGCTGTGTCTACTTTTCACCTCATCTGGGGTCACTTACGCTGCTTGGCAACTAAACTCCCATTGCACCTACCACAGTGTCTTTTCAGGGTCTACGTGGTGAGATCAATGTTTTTGCATATGAACTGGAGAGGTACATCTATGCTGCTCTCCACAAGAAAGCCAAGGTGGGGCCTCTGGAGAGGGGAGGAGGAAAAGGGATGTTTACATCTCAGGAAGGAAGATGGGGCTAGCACCAATACAGAAGGGATAGAGCTGTAGCTGGCCAGCCACACAAGCTTTGGAAAGTCAGTCCTTGGTAATCTCTCTTGGCTTTGCTTTCCCTAGCTCTACAAGAAGATCAGATGCACTATCTCATCATTAGTGTCTAGTCCAGCTATAAGATTCTATTTTCTTATATCCAATTACTGAATGCTACAACTGCCACAGTAAAGACAGCTTCCTTCTTATTAGTGTGACTTCATTTCTCATTTTGTTCTCATCTCACATCCAAGTTCTGTTATAAGTCACAAGGATTCTAAAAATCCTGTCAACAAGGGTAGGCTTCTAATTGTATAAATGTAAAGAAAAGTGGACAACAGTTAACAAAAACACAATTATTAAATCAATGAAAATTTCTACTTTCAATCACACTTGGCCACATTTAAAGTGCTTACTAGCCATGTATAGAACTACTATACAAAAGTGGTGCTGCAGGATAATGCGCTGGACTGTAATGTCAGTTTGAACCGCGAGGTCAGTGGTTCAAACTCACCAGCTGCTCCTTGGGAACCCTATACAGGGTCGCTATGGGTTGGAACCGACTCGTCAACACGTAACAACAAACAACAACTACATAAAAGAAGGTAACAGGAATATATTAATAACGTTGAGTGTTGCAGACTGCAATTACTGAGATGTTGAGGCCCTGTATCATGGACGAAAAACCAACACAGCGGCGCCACTCAGACTTGCTGGCCAGAGACCCTGAGGGCCCAAGAAAGTAACCTCTGGACGTCCCGGGTTCATTGGCTTTTACGAACTCACTGTTGGGCTAGCTCTGTATAATTTTCTTTAGTCCTATCACTCATTCTATGCTTCGAACTCCAGTAATTGTAGCTTCTGAGAAAATGGTTTCTTATGTGCCTCTCTTAATGTCTCCACTGTGTTGGCAGTGCTTAAGGTTCTGGGAACAAATCTCTCTGAGGAAAAAACTCTGGCCACCTGGCAAACATAGCTGTTCTTTATCAGATTATTCAGTTGTGTTTGATATTAACTTAATACATGAGCCCTTGATACCCATGGACAAATATTAAAACAAAAACCTCTGCTAAAGCCGAGGCCTAAAAGTTCCTAGGGTAAGTTTGCTGGGAGACGCTGGTGAAAAAAATCCCCTAAGGAATTCACCCAAAATAGATTGGTGTCTTCCGGGGTTTTGTCCAAAGAATAATAGCGACAGCCTTCTCAGATCGTCCCCAGGTGCAGACCATTAACATAGGTGTCCTCCTTCCTCCTGCAAGCCTCGGCCAGGTAGCCAAAACAGCTGGATCCCTTTCAGACCTTTTGAATCCTTTTCTCACTGAAGATAAGGTGCTATAGGTATATTAATTAGGCTTGAGAAACCTCGAGTTGCTGTCTTGGGATTCGAACCTAGAAAGTACTATATAACAATTTGCTTGAATTTCTAGAAAATTAAGGATGTTAGATTATCAAGACAATTTGTGATGTATGTTTTAGAATTTGTTCCTGTAAATCATTGTGTCCTGTTTTGAATGATTAATCACATTTCACTTCTGTACCCTGACTTAATAAACCCCGCCGCCTTCCTTTGTGTAAAGCTCCTCTCTGCAATAAAAAGAGGCACGGACTGAAGCCCGCATGCCTTACGGCTTGCAGGGCATGCATTACGGGCAGGCATTGCAGTTGGCAAGGTGTGCATACTGCTTGCCTAGCCATGAGGTTTACAATGCAGGATCTGTCAGACGCCACTCTGACATGCACTCTGGTCTCGGGGTGTCTTCTTGTCTCTCTTGTTGCGTCTTTGTGTGTATTCTTTCTTTATCTCTGTCGCCGCCAGAACTCCCTACTTCGTGAACTGAACCCCCAAGTCCAGGCCAGTTCTCCACAGTTGAGTATACAAAATACATTATACATAAACATGTTCTTACCTGTAATCGCCTGGTGGCTTGTCCAAGAGATCTTTCCACAGCTTTAATGCCATTTTCCAACCTCAGACTCTGCTGGCCTTGAATGTCAATTTCCCCTTTGACTTTACCAATTTTTCCCTTAACTTCTTCTTCATTCACTTGTGCCTCCTGAACCTCCCGCTGCAGTTTTTCTGCTTCAAGGCCATTTTCCATTGTCTGGATCTGAGCCAAATAGTCCTTTAATTTACTCTCACATTCTGTTATTTTCTGCCTTATCTCTTGAAGCTGATCCTTCAACTGTTTTTCATTTTCCTGTTCAATCTGCAGCTCATTTTCCCAAAATTCTTCCTCCTCAATTTCTACATCATTTCTTTTGATCTTTTGCTCTAGGCGGACAATCTCCTCTTCAAGGTTAGAATTATATTTTTGCTCCCAAAATCGTATTTCTACCTCATGTGATTCCAGCTGTCTCTCAATTGACTGAAGCTTCTCTGTCTGCAAATGGATCAGCTTCTTTAATTCGTCTGCTGTTGTTCTGTAGTTATTCAGCACCTTTTGCTTGAATTCAGTTTCTTTACTTTTCCCAAAAATGTCCATTAATCCTTTGGCACCTCCTGTAAATGTTAGTGATTTCCTTTTGGGCTCTCTCCTTTTGATTGATTTGTCATTCGGAGGCCTCAGTTTGGCTAAGGGAGGCAAACTCTGTCTGTATAAAGTTCTTTCAGGAATTCGAGCCACACTATCTGAAGTGGGTCGCTCACTGAGAGATGGCCCTGTGCGACGCAAAATGAGCTGGACATCACTGGCATACTGCCCCCATTTGTTTAAGGAGATGATGGGGTTTTCATGAGGTGCTAAGTGTCTTTCAGTATCTCTCCATTTTTCTATAAGGGTATACCTTCCAGTGCGACCTAAGCAAGAAAGATAGGATTCAACAGTTACTAGTTATGCAATAGCTGAAATAATACAACAGAGGGCGCTACTTGACAACTGTGTATTAAAAGAAAATACCTATTTTCATATTGCCATTTAGAATACACACAGCAAAACACACACCAATTCAACCATTTCTATACATACACGTTAATGACAGTGACTGCATTCGAGTGTGCAACCACTTTCAACTCCCATATTCTGAGTGGTTCCTCCTCATTAACATAAACTCACCACCTCTTAGGCTCCTATCCAATCTTTGGAGTTGTTGTTGTCATTTTGATCCCATATAGATCGTTCTTAAAGGAGCATAATGCTCAAAACAGACATTTTTTTTTTGCTAGTTAAGCTAAACTACTATTTGGTTTTAAGAAAATTCCAGCTGATAGTTTTGGTTTAAGGTTTAAATATTATCTTAGGGCAATATTTTCCGGCAGTATTTCCAGGGCTTTAGAGTATCTAGATTCCAGGGAAACAGTTTAATGGCAAAGAAGGTAGTTATGCATGGATACAATTAGCCACACATTCGATATCTTGCTTCTCCTTGCTGACTCTTCTTCTTCTTTTGCTGTTTCAGGTGAACAGAAACCAACTGCTGTGCCGTGGAAGACTGCTTGCAGCTTTTAAGACCCCAGGCACTGTATATCTATAGAGCTAAGAGGGAGAAGAGAAGTACTAAACATTTTATTAGGCCAATTAACTGGGATGTCCCATGATACTGTTACTCTAAACCTCTGAGCCAAGGGCCCAAATTCTATGAGGTTTTATTTGTGTAGAAGCAGCCTCAGCATCTTTTTTGTCATTTCTGTAAACATATCTATCACATAACTTTTGCCATCTCAGCTTTTTACAGGTGTACAACTTCTTGACAGCAATTACAACAATTGGCTATAAAACCTACCCCCTTAATCAATTTACTTTTTTTCTTGAGCGACATCAAAAGGTAGAGTTTTCAAGTCAACCATGTACTGCCTTTAAAATCTTCACTTGAAGATACAGAAATCTTCAAGAATAATTTAATCCAGAATAAAATGACTGGATATAAACTACCTATATGCTTTCAGACACTGCTTAGAAATTCAACTTTACACTTTAAACCTCAGAGTATCTTACGTGTCTGTCAAATATCTGATTGTCTAGACCAGGGGTGGAGAACATCTGGCCCAAAGCTGTATAAGGCCTGTGGAAATTCTGCCAAGGCAACCGCAGGTGGGACTCAAAATTCAATAAATCTAGGAGGTTTCTTTATAGCAACATAAATTCATACTAAGTGATGTTATAAATATCCAAATGGCACTTGGCAGAAAGAAAGGTCCCCCACCACGGTCTAGACCTTCTTGTTTAGGGAAAGACCTCTAATTGGGACAAAGGAGAAAAAGAGAACACACTAGAATTTCTCATTTGAAGGTGTGAGTGGTTGGTTCTATGAAGTAGGTAGAATTTCAAAACTTGAATCAACGTCTACCTTGTACCTGCTACTCTGCTAACAGGTAACTGTTCCCCCTTGAGTTCTTAGTCAACCCATAGCTCACCTAGCTGGTATCTTCTTGTTCATGTGGCCAAAAAAAAAAAAAAAAAAAAAGAAAATCACCTCAGTGTAAGTAGCCCTTCAAAATAATCTCATATATAAAGAGTCTTGGTTGTGGCACTGTGGGTAAATGCACTGGACTGCAAACTTGGTTTGAACCACAAGGTCGGTGGCTCAAGCTCACCAGCTGCTCCTTGGAAACTATGCAGTGTCGCTATGGGAACCGACTCTATGGCATTTAACAACAACAACAACAACAACAAAGAGGAAAGGCTCGGTTCAGTTTAGGTTGTAATGCTTTCAGGATTCTTGTGGGAAAAAAATTTTTTTAATGACATTATCAACAAAAACAGAATTAAAAACAAAAACAATCTGAACCTAATAAAATCATGGAGGTAAAGTAAAGTTTCAGAAGATAATATAATAAGCTTGAGAAAACTTTCTATATATTTTCATTTAAGGTGAATGATCCAGATGAATCCTTTTCATTTTGTTAAAGTGTCCATTAGTTGTTAATAGTACTATAAAGTATCTGGCCCTGCCATCTAGCAATTATTATAATGCAATATACAGCTATTGCTTTACCTTCTGTGCCTTCTTTAGTTTCTGGTCCAGTTAAGAGTGTTTCTTAGAATAAGTGAGTCAATAAAAAGAGATTTGAATTTGCAAATATGAACATCTATGTATCCAATTCAGAACTAGCACAAAGATAATGATTTTACTCTATATATATTGCCATGTTCTCCTTTTAAGAAACCTGAATTTTGGTATAGGTGACAGCCAGTGTTTTGGAGGCAAAAAGACTTGAATTTTAATTCCAAGCACATTACTAACTAGACAAGAAACTTAACTCCAATGGGGTGGGTACACTTATGTGGCATTGGGGAAGCACTGGACAGTAAACCACAAGGTTAGTGGTGGTTTGAGCCCAGCAGCCACTCACTCCGTGGGAGAAATATGAGGCTTTCTGCTCTGGCAAAGATTTACAGCCTTGGAACCCCTATGAGTTGGAACTAACTCGACAGTCTTTAACAGCAACAACAACAACAACAGTTCCTGGCACTTAGAGGTAAACAATACGCGTTGTTGTTAAGTGCTATCCAGTTGGTTCTGGCTCATAGTAACTCTATCTATGTACACCAGAATGAAACACTGCTCAGTCCTGTGCCATCCTCACAATTGATCCTATGTTTGTGCCCATTGTTGTTGTCACTGTGTCAACCTATCTCATTGAGGGTCTTCCTCTTTTTCACTGACTCTTTTCTACTCAAGGGATTGGTCCCTCCTGATAACGTCCAAATTACGTGAGGCAAAGTTTTGCCATCCTTGCTTCTAATGATCATTCAGGTCGTACTTCTTCCAACTGATATTTGGGGTTTTTTGGCCGTACATGGTGTATTTAATATTCTTTGTCAACATCATAATTAAAAACCTTCAATTCTTCTGGTTTCCTTATTTACTGTCTAGTTTTTGCATGCATATTGTTGTTGTTAAGTGCTGTTGATTCCAACTCATAGTGACCCTTGAATAGTGAGCTCAAATTGCCTGACTTTGCGGTTCAAAGCGACCTTGCAGACCAGTGCATTAACGCACAGTGCCACACTCTAGGATTCCTACATGCATATTGATGTTGTTGCTAAGTGCCATTGAGTTGGTTCAGACACATAGCAACTCTGATAGGGTTTTTTTGTGTGTGCCTGTATGGGAAGAAGACAGTCTTCTTTCTCAAATGCTGACTTACAGGTAGGGCAGAATGACACTGAGGGAGAGGCAAAGTACAGTGGCCAGTACTCTGAAACAGACTACACGTGGCTCTGAGAGGGTCCCTAAACAGCAATGGAAGTCATTACCATCCCAACTAAAAGTAGCAGTAACAGCATTTACAAGCACACAGGGTCCTTCCTAAAAGTTCATGATTCACCTACATGCCCTCAATTCTCATGACACCTCCCTTCAAGGCAGCAAATAGGGACAATGAGGAAGCCACAGTCTGTTTTTGCCCCGAGAACTGTTTGTCAGGTCCACTCTCAGTGAGTCAGTCCCTAGAAGTTGGGTTCAGTACATGGAGGCAGGGCCATTGGCTGGCTTAGCAACTTGTCCATTATGCTGATTTTAGTATCTTGCTTCTCAATGTCCTCATACGGAGTCCAGGACAAGTCATGCTGAAGCTTGTAGGCACCAAGGAAGTTGTGTGGACAACTTGTCCCCCGTTCCTTTGGAGAAATTATGGAAAAATACTGCTGACCACTCTCTCATTTATACAGATAGTAAATGTTGCCAGGTTTTTTCACAATATTACAAGCTATGTAGTGCAAGTCAGCATCTCTGTGAGCATCTTCTGATACCTTCCTGACTTGTTCTTGCAAATGTTGGATTTGCTCAGCTATGACAGTCAGCTTATTGGTGGCATTTGCTCAGATGAATTAATCAGCCTTCTGTACCTGCTGTGCGAGCACCACGAGGTCTAAGGGGTCCCCGGCCACAAGGGCCAATCCACTGGGGGTTGGGGTGAGCTCCACCAGGGCTCCTGTCTCAGGTAGAACCCCTTGATTTTCAGTAGCTTCCTCCATCCGCACCGATGTTAAGAGTGGCCGCCATAACTCTCCTGATAGGGTTTTTGATGAGCAGCTGGTGAGCTTGTACTGTGGACCTTGCAGATCAAACCGATTTTGCAGTCCAGCAAATTAACCCACAGCACCATACTAAGGCTCTGCATGCATATTGTTGTTGTTGTTAAGTACCACCGTGGAGTCGGCTCCGACTCATAGTGACCCTGCACAGGGTTTCAGAGGCTGTAAATCTTTACGGGTGCATAACGTCTCATCTTTCTCCCGCAGAACCGCTGGTAGTTTTGAACTGCTGACCCTGAGGTTGGCAGCCCGACTCGTAACCACTACGCAACCAGAGCTAGGCATGCAAAAAAATGGAAATTATCATAGCTTGGTTCAGGCACATCTTAGTCTTCAAAGTATGTTGTTTGATTTCCTGAAGGCTACTTGGTTATTAATCTTGCATCTAAGTAAAATGAAATTCCTGTTTATTATGATGTTGATTTGGTCCAGTTGTGAGGATTCTTGTTTTCTTTATGCTGAGGTATAATCCATACTGAAATTGTAGTCTTTCATCTTCATTAGTAAGTGCTTCAAGTATTCTTCCATTTCAGCAAGCAAGGTTATATTAGATGTACGTCAACTGTTGTTAATAAGTCTTCCACCACTCCTAATGTTATTCTTTTTCCTAAAGTAAGGTGAAAGGATGAAACTTCTTTCAATTTCTGAATTTTAAATCATTCAATGTCTTCTTGTTCTGTCACATGACTGCTTCTTGGTCTATGTTCAGGTTCCACATGGGAACACTTAAGGGTTCTGAAATTCCCATTCTTCACAATGTTATCCATAATTGGATACGATCCATACAAATGTTTCTGTATATTCATTAAAACACAGGGAA